ATGAGAACCCAGCTCCCTCGTGCTTCACCTGCTTTTCCCACTTACGGAGGCAGGCAGGATGGGGCTGAATTCTATCTGTAGGGCAGTTCATTGTATTGGAGTACAGCTGTGAATGAAACTCAGCACCTGCTGCAATTCACACCGATGTGGCCACCTCCAGGGGCCTGTGGGGCTGTGGCAGACATTGAACAGAGCGGATTTATAGAATCTGGACGCACAGGAGGGCAGAGTCCCGGATCCAACTCCGGACCCGGGGTTCTGTCTGTGTGTGGAGTTTGCATGGTCTCCCTTTGTTTACGTGGGTTTCCTCCCACAGTCCAAAGAGTTGCCGGGGGGTTAATAATTGGCTTCTGGGAGGACTGGCCCTGGTGTGAGTGTGTCTGCCTATGTGTAGTGTGGTATTACTGTTGTTAATGTTCAAGTGGCTAAAAACAGATCCCGCCTCGGGTCCAGCCGGCTTCAGCTCAAGAGCACAGAAAGGAACTCTGTAACTCTCACACGAGCTTGTTATTTTTGTAGCTGAATCAGACATACTGAGTGGATCAGACGCTACCCCCCCCCCCCCCCCCACCACATGTAAATATCGGAGCAGAGGGCGATGACTAATCTCTACATCTGCTAGAGCTGCATTCCTCTAAGCCCAGCAGTAATGTCGTTACCTGCAGGGCGGTTATCTGCAGCATCACTGAGGACTGTGGCTTTGGTTAAAATGATGAGGCTGCACAAAACGGCTGTCCTGCCATCAAGTCTGTTGTCCATTTTACTCACATTGTCTCTCCGTCTACAAGCATGTCTTCCTTTCTGGGCCAGGAGGGGGGCAAGAGGGCACTGCTGTCCTACTGCAGGGCTCCTTTCAGGAAACACGACCGAGTGCACGTGTGACTGTGTGTGTGATGTGTTTGCATGTGTGTGTACCAGCATGTTAATGTGTGAATGTGTGTTGTGGTGGTACCAGCATGTTAATGTATGAATGTGTGTTGTGGTGGTGGGAGCCCATCAGAGAGTGAAGACGAGACTCCTTACAGTTCCTAGCAGAGTGTGTGTGCCAGTGTTTGAGCGCCTGAGTGCGTGTGGTGTTTGTGTGACTATATGTGTGTGTTGGGGGCCTATCGGAGAGAGAGAGCAGAGGAGACGGGCTCCTCACAGTTCCTAGTAGAGGCTCTGCTGGAAATATCCTTCCAGGAAACGGTGCAGTAATTAAACCCAGCCTCCTGCTTCCAAGAAGTGCACACAGCAGCCAGTCGGGGGCACTGACTGCCCCCCCCCTCCCCACCGCCCTACACAATACCCTAATTATCCCAGCAGGGGGATCAAAGCCTGCCCTGCACGGGCGTCAGGAGCTTCAGGACCTGCTGACTGAACGGCACGGGGACGAGACTGGTGCTCCGAGAGAGGCCCTGCCTCTCTGGGGCACGTGGCGCCGGGTGCAATTCGAGCCGCCAAAGAAAAGGAACAGGGAGCAGAAAAGTGCACAAGGCCGCTTCATCACCACAACACGTCACTTCCAGCAACCCCTTACCCAGCTCACGGGCGTGGGGGAGCCAGAGCCTATCCCAGAAAGCACTGGGCACCGGGCAGGGGACCCCCTGGGTGGGACACCAGTCCAGCGTGGGGCGCACACAGACGTAAAACACACACACACGCCAGAACCAATTTTCCCAGAAGCTAACGAACCCACCAGCATTGTCAGTGGACGGCGGGAGGAAACTGGAGCACCTGGAGGAAAAACCCACGCCAACACGGGGAGAGCACGCAAACTCCACACAGACAGCACCCCAGGCCTGTAACTGAGCCCAGGGCCCCGGCGCTGCGAGGCAGCAGTGCTGATCACCGTGCGGCACAAGTCCGCTGGAAACCAGGTCAAAAATGAAAACGAACCAATGCCAAGTGCAAAATTAAGTAACCTTCTCAATCAGACATTCCCGTCCTGCTCAGGAGTAAAGGGAGTTCCTGTGACTCCTGGACGAGGTGGAGGCACGAGGTGACGGGGGGGGGGAGGACCTGAGGGTGCTGGCAGCAGCTCAGCGAAACTCGAACCCCTGTCCTCCCGCCAGGCCAGCTGGCGAGAGAGCAGGCGAGCTTTCCCAGAAACCCCCTTCTGGGAAACGGAAAAGGTCAAGGTCTGATCTGACCAATCAGCTTCCAGCGCCATCAGGAGATCTGAACGAAGGAAGGGGGGGGCACCGTACCCTATGAGGAAGCACCGTCCTGTCTGTGTGTCAGATCGGCCAGTCGGTCAGTCGGTCAGTCTGTCTGTGTGTCAGTGCATCAGTGTGCACGCTCAGGGATGGGACCATCTGACTCTCTCCTGCGTGACGAACCCCGAATCCATTATCAGCTACCTTTATCGATGCGCTGGCTGGACCCCAAGAGCTGCCTTTCCCCGGGGTCCTCCAACCGGCGCTGGGGTCACTCCGTTCTGGGGAACATCCACACGGTGCGCTCGAGCTGCTGTGGCTCTCAATCGCCTCCCGATGGACTCGGCCCACAACTCGGAATGGGAAACAGCGGATGTTTGATTGGGGGGCGGGGGTCGGGACCAGGGAGGGGGTATTCATTTGAGTGACCGCAGAAGACATATTCCATTACAGCGCTCAGCACTTGCAGCCCATGTTCAAAACAACACTCTGCAACTTTAATACACAACCGCCTGCCTGCCGCCCCCCCTCGCGCCTACCCCCTCCCTTCCTCTGCGCGAGGTGACTCAGACACCTTCGGCGATGCACGTGGTACTGCGAAACGTTGCTGCGGTACTGCGAAACGAGAGGAAAAACAACAACAAACAAGCCTTCTGTACTGCTTTCTCAGTTTACTCAGCAAAACCGCCGGGCTCTGCCCGCCTGCCTGCAGCTGTCATTCTGAGAATCTGACAGCAGGAACTGGGGCTGTGGGCACGCTGGCCTGCCGGCACGCGCTCTCTCCTTCCTTCTTCTGCTGCGGCGTGTCGGGGGCTTGGGGGTGCAGGGCAGTTCCCCCCCCCTGTTTCCTCCGTTTGGGGAGTCTGAGGACCTGCACAGCTAATCGAACCCCCGCCCCTGCCCCTGCCACCCCACTTTCCAGCGAGCCGCGGCAGGAGCCCCGCGGTGCTCTGCGCCTCCCCCCCGGCCCAGAGGCTCCTGCAGGCAGAGGCCCTGGCGAAGCTCCGGGGCGGCGCCGGCTCGTCCGCAGGACCGGCTGCGCTCGACCGGGGACGAACCCCCTCTCGAAAAGCGCTTCTCCGCAGGGAGACATGTCCTTCATCGCTGGTGAGAAACCCGCCGGCGTTTTTTACAGCATCAGCGCGGCCTCACGCGGCCCTCGAGGAGCGAGCTCTCCTGCCACTGCCGTTATCAACAACGTCTCGATCCCGGACAAGAAACAGCACAGCAGTTATTTCTCAGTGC